AGCCATATACATAAGCTCTTGCTTGGAGGTGCACCAGGTTCACAACCTCGAGTTTAACAATCTTGAGGAATCCATATGGTGCTCTGTAAGGTTGTCTAGTACTTCCAGGTGTCTAGTCGGAGTCATTTACAGGAAGCCAACTGCCGACACCGAGTACGATAGTCGTATGCTGGAAGGACTATCCCGCTCTATCCGTCTCGGTTTCACACACATCCTGATTCTAGGGGACTTTAATCTCCCTAGAGTCAACTTCGCGGAACACACGTACACTGGAGGCGACAACTCAACTGAAGCTCGGTTCTTCAACCTCATCGATAACTTGGGCTTATATGAAAATGTGAGGTCGGCAACTCGTTGGAGAAACAGTCAGACACCATCGCGCTTAGACTGTGTATTCACTAACGAAGAATTCCTAGTCGACAACCTCTCAATCCTGGCTCCTCTGGGAAAAAGCGATCATGCCGTCATAGCCTTCAGTTTTGTCATCAAAACTAAGCTAAGGTATCCCAACAATAATTTGCGTTGGAATTTTAAACGGCTGAATGTGCCAGCTCTACATGACCATCTACAACAAGTGGTTTGGGATGTTCACCCTCAAATCGATGTGGATGGTCATTGGGACTTCTCACTGCACACGCTCTTATGTGCTACAGACCATTCAGTTCCTCAAACGGTTCCCAAAAGCTTCAAGCCACCTACAGTAATCAAGAACCGTACCCTTCGCCTCCTAAGCCGCAAACGGCACTGTTGGGCGGAATACAAACGAACTAATAACGATGGAGCGTATAGGCAATACAAACATATCAGGAACACATGCACGAAGGCTATAAGAGAAGACAGGCTTCAGTACCAAACAAAGCTTATGGACAAATTCGCCTCTAACCCTAGAAGCCTATTCCGTTATGCAGCCTCTCTTCATCAAGCCAAAACAGGAGTTTCTCAACTGCTAGGTCTTAACGGCCCGACCAACAACGATGGCGACGCCGCTAACCTTCTGGCGGCCCATTACTCTCAAACATTTCAACCGGCTGACATCAACTTTATTGACGACAGTTTCATCTGCAATTCCACAGGACTTTCTGAAGTGGACCTAAGCGCTGACTTGGTGTTCCGGAAACTGCAGCACTTAAGACTTGACACTTCTCCTGGCCCGGATATGGTTCATCCTGCCATACTAAGGGAGGCAGCCTCAATCCTGGCAACGCCGCTGAGCGTGATGTTTTCACACTCGCTTAGCCGAGGCAAATTACCGGAAAATTGGAAGTTGGCTCACATCACACCAATTTTCAAAGGTGGTCGACGCAATGAACCTTCAAGTTATCGGCCGGTAGCTCTTCTGTCGTTACCTTCAAAACTCATGGAGTCCCTGATATGCGACGGTTTAAACGACTATCTACTGTCCTTAAATTTCTTCTCACCCCAACAGCATGGTTTCAGGAAGGGTTACTCTTGTATAACCAACCTGCTGACTGCGGTGGACAGATGGACAAGCACCCTCGATGTTGATGTCATTTACCTTGATTTCTCAAAAGCTTTTGATAACGTTAACCACTTGTGTCTTATCAACAAGCTCAAACGACTAGGTATCAAACCACCTCTAATCGACTGGCTTACTTCATACCTAAAAAATCGACACTTTAAGGTTAGGGTTAATTTCACTTTATCTCAAGCTATGGAATGTCCTAGTGGGGTCCCCCAGGGCTCAGTACTAGGGCCTCTTCTCTTCTTGATCTACATAAATGATCTTCCTCAACAGGTAACGTCAGACTTATTACTTTTTGCCGACGACGTGAAACTTTGGAGAGAGATACGCAACCAAGACGATATACAGGCACTTCAAGAGGATCTGACTCGACTTCAAAGTTGGGCAGACGATAACGGACTTACCTTTAACACTTCAAAGTGTAAAGTAGTCCATCTGCGACATGTCGCAAACTACGGTTACAACTTAGGAAACTCCTCTCTAGTAGTATCCCAAGTCGAAAAAGATTTAGGAGTCCTGGTGCCCCATGACTTAAAGTCTTACGCTAACTGTGACAAAAATGCCTTCCGAGCAAACCTTGCACTGGTAACGTTGAGGCGCATTTTTGGCCAGTTTGACGGAAGAACTTTCCACACAATCTTCAATAGTTTCATCCGTCCCCATTTAGAGTACGGAAACATAGTACTCCCCCCTCACTCCAAAAGGACAAGGTCACTTTGGAGCGTATCCAACGGCGAGCCACGAAGTCAGTTCGAGGACTCAAATCTAAGCCTTACGAAGAACGCCTCCGTTCACTAGACCTTTACCCACTAGAATATAGGCGTCTTAGAGGTGATTTATTAATGGCTTATAGTATTCTTAACACTTCTGGACATCCTCTTAAACACCTACTTAAGCTTAGTTCGAATAATAACCTAAGGGGTAACACCCAGAAACTGGAAACACAACATAGCAAGACGGAATGTAGACACAACTTCTACTCCTTAAGATTTGTCAAAAGCTGGAACTCGCTGCCGGCCGAGCTAGTCCAAGCGACTTCTCAGGAGTCCTTCAAGAGGCAACTTGACCTATTCTTAGGGACCAAGGACAGCATCACACTATGATTTACCATTTTCTTTTCCTCTTTTATTGTTAACATACCTAGGTTCCTGCCTGGAGGATTTGGTGATCCCCTGCTACTAGACACGGAAGCCTGTTAAGCGAAAGCTTCTTCTATTCCGTCCACAACCATTTGAACCATTTGAACCATTTGAACGGCGGTAGAAGTAAAGCATACCGATGACCTTGACCGGCCAAAAAGCTAGGTAACTGGTTTCGTAAGAGGATATATGGTAAGGAAGAAGTCGAATAACACAGGATAAATAGTTTTGGGATTGCTAGCAAACCTTTATGCTTAATTATTTGTCATGACGAGTGAGAAAGGGTTAGGATCATTAGTTACGTAATATCAAAACAAACAAAAGAGGGGTAATAGTGGCGAACTCGAGGAAAAAGGGGTGTAAATTGTAAGCAAATAGAAAACGTTTTATTTTCTATTTGATGTGGTTTATATTAGGAAAAATGACTAGACTTATGGGGATAGGAGAAAAGGTTAGGAAATAGGGTACTTGGGTTTAAGGTTTGGATTTAAAGCTGGAATGGCTCTGGTAATAACCACAATGATAAAGCATAAAGCCATTCCGATTAGAATCGAAATTATTATCATTACTATCATCCTTAATGTATTTGTTTTCTAATGTTTCTTCCTCGAATAGACTAATCGTTGTGTATGTGTGCTCAATTAGAAACTTCATTTTAGACCATAAAAAATCACAGCGTAAAAGTGATTGGTGCTCAGTATTAGGAGATTTTAATGCCCCCAATATTAACTGGGAACTGATGTCCACCGTAGTATCCGATAGTACATTCGGTAGTAGGTTCCTTACGATTGTGGTTAATGGTGCTCTAAAACAGCATGTATGTTAACACACATCTTGTGGTTCAAACCACGCGTCTTTGCTGGACTTAGTGATCACTCGTGAAACCGAAAGTATTACTGGTCTAAATATCCCCGCACAGTAGGCTAATAGTGATCATAATGGTTTGCCATTCAGGTTCAGAGCTTGTGACAGTTGTTTCTAAGGTTCGATCTCCCTCAAATTTATGGAGAATTAACATTTCGGTCATGAAGGATTACGCTGCAGTAACGGACTGGTTATTTTATACTAGTTCGTCAATTGGAGAAGTATGGTCTTTATTGAAAAAGACAATTAGCTCAGTTACGTCCTTTTTTATACTATGGTTAAAACGTCGTGGACCTAAAAACCATTCACCATAGATAACAAGAGATCAGGAGAAAACGCCACGATATGTCCACTTCTTCAGACTCTGAATAGTTCAAATCTACTTATCTGAAGAATATGAACACAGAGAGTGCTGATAGGTAAGCCGATATTCTCATATGATAAACAACCAGTTTGGGGTTCTCAACATAGTTTCAAATGGTTGTCCTCATGTATAAAGAGGTGAACTCAGAGAAGTAATGGGATATAGTCACTTCCGTCACCCCCAAATACCCTGGTACGGTCGAGAGTGGGTAGAGTCAGCTCTCCCTCTCGAAGTGCTCTCACATGGCCACGTTCATACAACCACTGGCAGGGAAGTTCTTCTCACTGCCTCCTCGCGGCGGGGGTGTTTACGATACTGAAAGAACAAAAAGTGAATGTCCGGCGCTTTAACTGGGTTAGTGGGTACGGAGGATCCACCTAGAGGAGTTGGAAAACCCTGATTCCAAACCAATGGTTCATATGGGCTCCAGGATCCTGAAGAAACAAATGACGTATGGATCTATCCTTGTCTGCTGGATGCTGTGGGGACTGTATCTCTTAACGTTGCTCCACTGCCTCGTGGGTTGGAACTCTAGATCGAAGGCTCGGGGTGTGCCCCCCTAAGAAAACCACCTACTTCGGTTTGGGTACCCGGGCAGTGTCACAGCCCTCACACAAATCGAATGATTCATGTGGCACGTATCCATTTGATGCTTCCTTGTACCAATGTTGGGTTTAAATAAGTAAATAAGTAAAGTTGCAGACAAATCCACTGACATTAGTAAGTAATGAAATTGAGAAAACTGATGCCTTGTTAAAATATTTTAGCAGTGTTTTCTACTGACGACGGTGGAAGACCAGCAATTAACTCCAATAACAGTTTTCTGTCGATGGATTCTTTGTTTATTAAGAAGTGAGTTCTACAAGTAATTCAACATCTCGAGCAGGATAAGTCCAGTGGTTCTGGTGATATCTATCCTCAAATCATGGGAGCCCTAGCTGATATAATTGCCGATTGACTGGCAATACCCTTCGATATGTCCCTGAAGTTGTCAAAAACTACCACGAGACTGGGGAGGTACAACCATTAGTTCAGTCTACAAAACTGGGTACAAATGTTTGGTCAGTAACTATCGCCAAGTTAATCCAAATAAATAGGTTGTCAAACTAATTTATTTATTTATTTGAACACATGGATATTGGTACAAGAGAGCGCCAATATATATGCGCCACACTGAATACTGGGAGGTCTTAGATCCTATGTAACTGTTAATAAGGTACAAACTACGTCACCTAGTTTTAGATCTCGCGCTAAAACTCAGCAGTCTTTGGTTTAGAGCCGATTGGTTCATAAACATAATATACTTCAAGTAGTACTTCACCTTAATTTTTATAAAAGCAAAACACTTGATGTAATCTGTTGTCAAGTAAAATGCAAGGGACCAAAGTTGATGGCTGTAACAAATTCATTTTTCATAAAACGTAAGTTAAGGTGTCGTTACTGATCTAGTACAACTTTATCGCTTTGGTTTTGAGCTATGTAATTGTGTGTGTAGAGAATGATAATAAAACTTGTCTACTCAAAACCTGGTATCACGTTGAAAGCCACCAAAATCATCCATCTGAGCTACAAATCTCCATCTCAAAGTCGAATGTTCAAACCAATATTTATATTACACTTCTAATTATAGGCTATTTAATTTAACAGCAAATTTTTTGCTTATATTTTATTATGTCTGTTCATTTTTCAGTATGTTTTAGAACATTAAACTATAATAATTTGTCATTCAATTATAAGCTAGACTTGCTAAATTATTTACTCAGTATTTACTTGTATTTTTAGAGTATGAAAAGTGACACAAAAAATTTAATTGCTGGAAGCTTGTCCGGTTTCACTGTCCGTTTTCTAACTCAACCATTAGATGTTATAAAAATTCGTTTTCAAGTGAGTTATTGTATTCTATGTTTGTGTTAAAAACAACTATAATTCAGTTACAAGTTGAAGATATTAAGCCCTCAGGAAAATCATATTACACTGGCCTATTACAGGCATTCATTCGTATTTACAAAGAAGAAGGTGTATATGGTCTATGGAAGGGTCATGTACCAGCACAATTTCTTTCTATTACATTTTGTGGAGCACAAGTGAGTGGTAGCATAAAATTAATAGTAATTATCTTTTTACCTTGCTGAATACTGTATATAAAATTAAAGTAGATACGTAGATGAGTGTTGATCTTGACAGTTATCGATTGTTGTAGGTTTTAGATTTTAATGGGATGTAAGATGACCAATAATTCAATTGTAAGACAGTAGTAGCTAGTGCTACATATTGATTATTTTATAACAAACCGTTTTTGTTAGTGCTAATAATCAAACTATATCTACCATTCTTTTTTTGTGGTTGATACTTAAGTGTTCAGATTTACCTAAAAATGTTCACCTAGTTCTTCTCTTTGGTCAGTAATGCACACTTATCTAACACACTACTTCATTTATTTATGTCAACAAAACCGTTCATTTTCAACTCTACTGTTGTAGATGATTATTCTGCAGATTCTTGAGACAAATATTTTATTCATCTGTAAGGGTTTGTGTTTTCCTGTGTTTTTATGTTCAGGATTGCATTTGATCGATCGCTGCATGTGTGCACCTTGAACAGATGACACGATGTTGTTTACAGCTTTAGGAATAATTTGGGATTCTCCCGAATTAGTAGCTATCTGAAATAATATGTTGACCCTCAAATCTATAAGTACTGGGTTCGCGTCTCACTGTGAACATTATCATTGCGAAACAAGTACATTCAGCTGACTAGTTTCAAACAAGACGAAATGCATGTCTTAAATTTCACTGTTGCCTACAACCTGGAAATATAGTGATTACTGTGGCAAGTTTATAGCGATACATCAACCTGTGACTGTTAAGCTAAAAAATAGTTACTTTTTTATGGATCTCTGCATAATGTAATTGGTCCTTTGGTCTGTCATAACTTCGACACTTTCCTATACCACTTACAATAAAGGTTTTTATCGAAAAAGCCTACCTTCTTCACTACTCAAGGTTTCTTTATATAAATATATTACTGTATTTCACTATGCTTGAAATTAAACTTACTTCTCATTATTTCTGGCGAATGATATTCATGAAACCAGGATGTTGATGTTCGATTATCACCTCTTGTTTGTTGTTTAGGGATTATTTCTCTGCCCCATCCGTAGCTGTCATTTTGATGCCTATTTTAATAACTCACCCGAGCTATATTGACTGGAACACTTGTCCCTATGTCGGGTAGGTCGGTTGGACAACGGTAAAGCTAGAAGCAGTAACTTAAAGTTTGAAAACGGAGTCGTACTACTGGATATAAAGGAGTGTGATAGTAAATTATCCCCTTCAGACAACCAGCACTTTCAGCTATGCTTTCTTATCACAAAGGAAGGGAGGATTTAGGAAAAGTCAGCCCAAAAATATTACACCTCATCTCAACCCTCGGATTTTCGTCTCCAGAAGTAAGGCTTTTAAGCTACGGCGCTAATAAATCTTAAACTTCTCATGAAAAGAAATGTATGACGAGCTTCAAGCCATTGTCCCCTGGATTCTGTGGTTACGCTCCTAGGTCACTAAGACTACTACTAACCCAGTTTCCTTCTCATGTGCCTCACGAAGAAGTATTCTTCCACGGTGTGCGCATTCGGAAATCGACATCCGCTCTCAAACCTGTTACAGCATAGGAGATTATATTGTTCACATTTTGATTAGTTTCTTGCAAGAATTGCTACTTCTTTGTTATTAGCGAACCATATTCGACACCACTGGCAAAATGTTTTACTAATTAACCAGTTTTTTCACTACACTTCACATCTAATTCAGAATATTCATCGGAATAGCTAATGTGATGAGACGTAGATAGATAAACTTTTCATCCACATAACAAAAATGGACATAGAACTCTATATGTGTAAAAGAACCAAAATTTAGTTAGTTATCAGGTGCGACATATCTAATTACAGCAGTAGTGTGGCAGTACAAATATTAGTAGCAAACTATTAAGTCGAGAATTATGTGTTTTAGTACAGCGATAATTCAAACTTTCATGTTTATTTCATCAACCCTATCAGTCTCTGTATTATTTGAAAATACTAATGTAATCTTTTTTTGCAAATAATCTTACATTTTAGTTTGGGAGTTTTTATGCCATTGAAAATTTACTAACCAACCAAATAAATCTTAGCTCATCATCTGGATGGGTGCATGATATGATAGCCGGTAGTGTAACTGGTCTGATTGCGTCTACATTAAGTGAACCATTAGATGTCATGAGGACACGACTTATAGCTCAAGGTAAAAATCAGGTAACCATTTATAGGTTTTCTAAAGAGAATTATTGACTATGTGCTTTACAGTTTTGTTCATAAGGATGGAAAGTTTGTGTATGTGCGTGTTGGATTTTTTTATGGCTGAGATAGATAGCAGTAACGTAACTTATTTACTACATATAGATTTATGTACTTGGTTTTAACCCATACTATATGTAGATTGCTGGGAATACATAACTACCTTAGCCAAATTAAGTAAAAACAGGGGTTCGAAGCTTGTTTTTCTTGAGTGTTTTAATCTTCAATTTGTTAAAGTTGTTTGTCTGGACAAAAAGCCACAGTAAAGCAAGCCATTACACGAGTATGGATGTTTCAGATAAATACTTCTAGAATAGTGGATCAGCTTTTTACTCATTTTGAATGTAACTGTAGTCCTATCTAGCGGTTTTTGAGTAGTAAGATAGAATAATTATTTCATACAATAACTGTAACCTGTATATTAGTGTGTAAACTTATAGATGGCTAATTATTTGTATTCTTGTTATCATGTCTTGTCAAATTAAGATATTATGAAGCCCTAAAATGTTGGGTTAAATATATGTGACTCAGTGATTTGAGCCTTCAACCTTTTTTCGAGATTATTCTCATCCTTCTATTCGGTTGATATGAACTACATGTAAATGATAACTGTACGTTGTATCTCAGTAATATCAGTGTATTGAAAAAAGAATTTATTGCTTACAATGCTAGTGACATAATTACTAGCAGTAAATAAATATGGATATTTAAATTTCTTGCCAAATTGAACCCAATGCCTTAAACTGTTTAAGCGAATATTTTAGACCCTGAATTCATTAAACATAATCTGGGGAATAATTTCATTGTTTTTACAAGTCAAATCAAGTCCAAATTAAAATGTTTATCAAAGTTAAGTCGTAATTGAAATACTGGCGAACTGTAAGTTTCAACAAATAAGGGTTCCCATATATATTGTTTTCTTTCTCCATTTAATTGGATTTGCAAAATGTTACCATAGTGTACATTACTACTCGATCAAAGTACCAGGTAATCAGTACAGTCATTCGGTACTTTGAATATTTTCACAGTTATAAATAATGTTTTGAAAACTGTCGGTAGTAAATCAACTAAGTATAGATGGTCTGTTCAGAAAATACAGTAACCAAACTACTACAATTTTTTATTAGATTTAGGTGAAATTGTCAGGAAATTTATGGAACGTTATTTATACAGTTGTAATCTATTGAAGATAACAGTTATTTTTAAATAGATTAAGGGTTTCTTTGAAGGTCGTGAAGACCGTGGGTATGGGATGAGGTTATGATGATCATTGTTGACGTCTCATGTTGTGTCCAGTGGCTAATTCAATGTTTAAACGATTGCCAGTCACCTAGATTCACGTTATTCTAGCGTAACGTAGAAATGATAAGACAACTGAAGAGTGACTTTGGTAGATTTATATGGATGTATTGAACAAATGAAAATATTTTGAAGGGAATAAGATGAATTTAACCTAAATTTTCTTGGTTAAAGTTTGTATAACTTCAATGCAGACATTTACTCGACAGATCACTTATGTTTCTTTCTCAGATTTAACAAGTAGAGACAATTTTATGACAGTTGCATGAATGTGAACATATACAGTGAAGTAAATTGTTATTACTACAAAATAAGAGACCAATGTTTACATGAATTTATTTTGTGCTTTGAAATGAAGGTTTATTCAGGCTTCCTATGTGGTATGCGTCATCTTATTCATGAAGAAGGATTATTTGGCTTATGGCGAGGACTTGGACCATGTCTTATATCAGTAGTACCACAAACAACTGTTTATTTTACAGTTTATGAACAATTGAAGCGTTCTCATATTCTATTGAAATCAAAAGAGAATATCCCTATGAAGCATAAATCCGCTTCTTTAAATAACGATGTTGGTAAGTTAAACCGATTTTCTTTAATATTTATATATGGTATTACCAAACAGATCTAATGAGAGATTTGTTTGGAAGAAAAGCGAACTCAATACAAGAGGTAAATTCACTGTGGAATTTGACTAGTGCATTCATTTAGTTTCTATTCGTACTCGTCCAATCAACATATATTTCAAGTATTTATCTATGGTTGTATTGTGTCTTTCGAAGTGGTTGTCAATACTTTTCATAGTTAAACTATTCGAAATAACCCAAGTTGACATACTTCATTATTAATATGAATCAAAAGAACTCTTTCCTGAAAATTGGACTATACGGTAATAATATAAAACACGACAGCAGGCACGAGGTATGTATATTTGTGCTAGAAGTTACAAAGCATTGCATAATACATATACATTACCATTAGTTATCCATTTGCATCTTCCGTTGTGTTCTGCAATCTGAACTATCTTCTCAACCGGTCTCCAAGTGTTCTTCCAACGCCGTGCTTTCGATGCACTAAACATTTTCACTGTCCGACAAGTGTTGCAACTTCGATGCAACGTTCCAATACACTCGACTTACAAAACATCCTTGTGAGTAGTGTCCACTACAACAGTTGTATGCTTTCATTTATTGGAAGGTTCAGAACAAATACCAGCTTAAGATGTGGTTAGCAGTTGCATCCTATATTTATTCAGTCCATAGAAGTTGAAGATCGAATAACCTTAAGACTGGCGATTCGAATCCTATCATAACCTAAGTTTTTCAACGTTAGTTGTCTTAACTCCACTCTTGTATGTTCTAAACCTAGGTTGGTTATCTTGTTAAGAATGCTTTAAAACTAAACAAGTAGGAACAATCGGTTAGATTATATTGACAAAATTTCGTAAATTCATTAAAGAATGTTTAATTATTTCGACTAAAACTGCAGTCAGTGTATCATTACAAGAAGTTAAGACAAAGTACCTTTTGAGTTTATAAGAAATCATTGCATTTAGTTTGAAGTTAAATTTACCGGATAAATAAAGCTATTTTAGATTCCATTTGTCATGAACATTGGATTGTTTTGTTTTAGTTAGTTATTAGGATTTCCATTTGGGATAGCTTATATAATTACTGATAAGGGTTTGAGTTATCTCATTGTTCACTATTAATGGGTGATAAATAAAAATATATGTACGCATTAGATTTTAATGTCCTGCTCTGTCAAATAAAGTCTACTTTGTAAACAATAGAGTTATAGAAGACATTTATATAATGATGCGAGAGGTATAAGGGAGATTGTCACCTCCTGGTTACTTACACCATAAAAATACTTCTTAAAGTTATCTGAAAAGAAACCCAAATTATGTGTATGAGTGATCATGACTTTCTGATAGCATGACAGCGGTGCCTGAGGGACAACTGCTTGAGGCCGATCATACTGAACTTTATGAGTAGTTTTAGATGTGTTATTTCCATACTTTAGAGGTGACAGAAATCGTTTAGGGGAAGCTGAGGTGTACTATATTTTTGGCGGATCTTTTTTTAGCCTTCTCTCTCTCTGTTATGATGAGGTATTCATAAGTGTGGTTTGTGTTCCGAAAATAGCTAATCAATTCGATTCATTAATGAGAAATCATAAAATGATTAATACATCTTTTTTAAAATTACGTATATATATATATATATATATATATATATATATATATATATTTCTTTTTAGGTCATGAATCATCATTGGAGACTGATCACCATCTTCATCAACAGTTAAACTGGCATTTTCCACTTTGGGCTGGTGGATTCTCTGGTCTCTTAGCTAAGACAATTGTCTATCCTCTTGATTTAGCTAAAAAACGTTTAGAAATACGTGGATTTGAAAAAGCTCGTTTAACATTCGGTCAATTGCCTAAAGGTTATACATTATCCACATATAAAAATATTAATTTAACACAATTAAACTATAATCAATTTTTCGCTTCATTCTATTGTTTAATAGATATTTTTAAAGAACATGGTATTTATGGTTTGTATAAAGGTTGGATACCATCAGCTTTAAAGGCTACATTAACGACAGGTTTAATGTTTTGGTTTTTTGAACAATATAGTTTTTTATTATCTTATTATTAATACTACTATTAACTATTACCACTACTACTACTACTAATAATAATAACAGTAGTGCTAGTTTCTTTTCTTTGACAGTTTATGAGTTAATGCTTTATGCAATTCCTATTGGGACTCATTTTATTTGATTTTGGATTATTTTTGTATCTTTTAGAGAGAAATATATTGATAATTCATAGTACTACTGCTACTTCTACTACTACGTTAGTGAACAAAACACCAGTGGGGACAATCGAATGTATTTGACACGAAATGACAGAGTATCTCAATAAAATATGAGAACCATATAGTAAATCGTTAAATTGCAAAATATCAATCCATTATCTCAAACTTGACTGTTCATGTTGCAAACATCAATTCGTTGTCTCAGATTTTATTGTTCATGCGTTTTCATACCAATTGCGTTCTGTTCCCATTCTTTCCTCATCGACTTTCTACTGAAATACATTCTATAACTGACCACCGTTATATACTACTTGTATGGATATAAGTAACCCACACCACACTATCACTGTCTTTCATAATATTATTGTTAAACCATTTACTAGGTGTGTATTGATACAATTCTCAAAGATTTAGGCCTAACACTCGTAATTTATTGAAGAATGAATGACCTACAAGTTAATTTCCTTCAATTACATATAACATTTTACCATGTTTATTTTCTGGTCATATTTTGTATCTAAGGACGTTATTTTATTCCATCTAAAAAGCCTATTCATTTGACTAGTTGTCTTGTCTTTCGGGACCTTAAAGCAATAATACGGTCTTGTGAGTAGCTATCACTTGGTCACATTATATCATTACGTTCATCTATCGATTAGCATTCTGTCCATCAATTTAAACAATAGATATTTCACATCACGCAGAAAACACATTCCATAACAGGTACAGATTCGTGTAGTTGGTCAGTAGTTACATTAATTGTGAAGATTAGTTGTACTATGCGTTCCCGCAAATTGAGGTAGATGGAGGAGGGTTCGGACCTGTGACTTAGTGACTGAGAATTGAATGCCTTAACCACTGAATGAAAACTACAATCTTCTGATAACTTATATACAAAATTTGTATGCTCTAATAGTTTATGTACTAATCAGCTTTGAGCTTAGCAGTGTTTGCGTAAGAACTATGGATACTAGATTGCCAGAAGCTAAGTTAGATGCAAATATTGTTAGAGATAGTATGGGTAGTTATCACATATCGGTCATGCACATCAAAGGAGAATACCTTTTGAGGCGCCTGACGAGCAATTTGGATTACAAGTGGTCTTGATGACCTAGGAGCGTGAGCATAACAGTTGTTTGGGACCTGTCAGATACAGCTTTTTTGTCACAGATTTTAATGTGTTAGCTCCGTACTTTGCAACCCTTACTGTTGGCACCGGAAATCTATGGGGCAAAGAAATACAGAGTATTTTTAGGGATGTCACTAACAATTCGTTTAATAATCAATGACAAAAGTTTTCTCAATTGATTTAGATAGATTTGTATATCAAAGTGCTCTCTTGAACATCTCTTTTAATTTTCTCTACTCATAAGTAGTTAAATTAGATTAACGAAAATTGAGGTCAGAATTAATATTCAAATGAATTGACCGACTTCAATCCGTAAATAACGCTAGTGAATGGAGTAGCGATAATAATTTAAGAATAGTCAGTTATGTAATCTCTTACGTGCTACTCTTTTGAGCTTCATCTTAAAACGGGTTTTTCGGAATAAATTTAGCTTCAAGTATCAAAAAATTTGAGTTTTCAATCTTCCGGGTGGTTGAGTAGTTATGCTCTAAGGACCCTGATTGGGGAGTCACGACGTCGCCATAAATACTATCCACGTATGCGTCTTTTCCTGCCACGATGGCATGTCATAAAATGGTCAATCGGCTTTTCCCATTACACCCCACCATCAGCAATTAATGCACGAAATTTATCTATCTAAGATGCCATTCGTAACACATGTCTAAGCCACTGAAGTCTATGTTTCTTGATGGTGACACCGTCTGGGTTATCGTCACCGTGCCAATTTATTAATATCGTTAAACTAAAGTGCCATATGAAATGATTGTAATTGATTTTCTGAATTGTATAGTTCTGCCTTTTAAAATATGCCCCTGTTTTTGAGAAAATATTCTGTATCATATTCACTGAGATGGTTAACCTTTTTAGATATACTTATGAGTAAACAGAATTTTATAGGATATTTCACTATGATAACTTTACCATTCAGTCGATTCCAAGTAATTTGAGATTGTGACTGCTATAACTGACAGCAGATTAGAGAACAGCGAATTATCGATCGGACCAAAAACGCGCAAACACGTAAGAACGGCCCAGGGTTCTGATTGGTCCCGCTTCCCTGTCTAGCCCAGCCAGTTGGGTCCAGAACACAAGTCTCAGCCTCGGAGATATGAATCATTATATTTCAAACATACTCTGTTTATATTATCAATCAAGCAGACCACATCGTACCATAAAATAGGAAATAACATTGTACAATACTGACCAGTAGGAAAACGACACGTGAAGTAAATATTGACCAATAAGAAAATAACACCATTTCAAGTTCCAGGATAGCGTTAGACTTAACAGAATAATTTTTGGGATATTTTCCTGAATATCCCAACCGTGACGATTTGAGAATTAATATCTGCTTCGAAATGTTTTGAATCTAAAATAGGCATAACAAATAACTTTTGGGTAATTTTATTAGATCATCTGATACATTTCTGAAAATTTGAGTGATCCTGTTCACCTGGGGAATACTAAAGTGCTCCATGTATCTCTAAAAATTAGTATGATATATAGACTAGTGTCAACCATTAGGTTGACAAGAATCCTGTTAATCAAGATGTTGATTTATATTTGATTCTCAGCTGCTCAATCACTTGAAAATTATGGATTTTCGTACGAGGACGTCTTTGTGTTCAAGTCGTCGCATTTGTTTTTATTATACATGGACATGCATTTCCGACAAGCAGTAAACAAAGTAGATTTCTTAATTAATATAGTGTAGTTAATAATCGGAATAAATGTACATAGTGTTTCCCATTTAAAATCCAAACTTGAGCTACTACGTTAATGTGGCGATCAAGGTTATCTATCGTAATAAACCAATCAAGTGTTAACTCTTATTCTCTTAGTATCTATCATATCAGAGAGTTAGGTTTGGGAACGGTAAGATCAGAAGCGAAAACTTATGGTTTAATATTGAAGTCCTAATGGTGATTATACCGAGGTGTGATAGGAGTAAAGTGTTTCACTCAAACAACTAGTACCTGTAGTAATGATTCTCACTACGAAACGATGAGACGAAAAAAGGGTAATGTTAAAAGAAGCACATCCCATTTGATCCATGGAAATCTACTGTTTGAGTTAAGATGATTATAGTAACCAATAGTTGAAGACATTTGATGGTTCAGGGTCATTTCCACTGGCTCAGATGCATCCAATCTTTATATTGTGGTCGAAAATGAGTTTTATAACTAATTATTGTTACAGAATATTCCGTAATTGATTATATAATGTATGCAATAATACAAAGCACGTAGGTTATAATGGAAATACCAAGATTCTCAAGTAAACTATTCATATTGCATATGAACAAAGAGTAATTACATCTAAGTTATGAAAATTTAGGGGATTAAGAGTTATTTATATTTTCAGAAGTTGGTTTTGTGGAGCATTTAGTAATTTTATAGTTGAATTCATAAATCAATTAAATTTAAACCACCATGGAACCCCCTTCTGATAATAATCATCATATGCTCACTAGTGACTGGCTTCCCCGACCGTTGTTGCTACCTTGACGTGGTGGTCGGGCTTGCCTATTGTGATGAAGCAACTGAGCTATACTGACTGGAACAACTGTTCCTCAATGTCTTACCACGTCAGAAAGGTCGGTTGAAAAGCGGTAAGACTAAAAGCAACAAACCCAAGGTCCGAAGGCGAAGTCGTACTGCTGACTGTACAGAGGTGTGACAGCAGTAAGGTGTTTCCTTCAGACAAGCAGCATAACAGCGATGCTGCCTTCCCACAAGGAGGGGTGGGGTTAGAAAAGGTCGACCCTAAAAATGCACACCTCGCCTTATTCCACGGATACCCGTCTCCGGCGGTAAGGTCTCAACAAGTACGGAGCTAACACGAAAAATTGCTCATAAAAAAGTCGTGTGTGACCGACCTCAAGCAGTTGTCCCTTGGGCACTGCGATCACGCTCTCAGGTCACTAAGACCACCTCTAAACCAATTTCCTTTTCAGGTACCTCCAGAGGAACCCTTCCATGGTGTGGGCAACCGGGAAGTGATAACCGCCCTCATACCTCTAACAGCATTCAAGACCACTGTATTCATAATCAACCTCCCTCTTCAATTCCTATTATTCCTCCTACATCGACTTCAAACTCTAAACTTCTTATTTCGGCTTCCTCCTCAAGTTTCACCATAGCCAACGATTCTAGTGCTCAAAGCACTGTCCCAGGTCTACTGAGACCTGGCTCCACGCTACACATTGGAGCCTGCAATGTACGAACACTATGTCAAATCGGTCAGCAGGCTTCCTTGGCTAAAACCCTAGAATCTCGTACCATTGATGTATGCTGTGTCTCCGAACCACTCATTCAGGATCCCAGTGTGGTCATTCACTTGACCTCACCTCGGTAAAACGGCGAGCCAACGAGATACACCCTCCGTGTATCTGGTGACCCGATGGCAAGTTCTGTGGACTGGCAGGAGTAGGGATAGCACTAAGCATGAGGGCGAAACAAGCACTGTTAGAGTGGATCCCCGTTAACAGTCGTCTATGTGCTGTTCGGCTAAACGGCTCCGTAAGAACTTGGAAGGATAGGGACACACGTCGTTGCCTTTTTGTCGTTTCTGCCTACGCTCCCATCGACTGCAACTCAGATGAAATGAAAGATGAATTTTACAGAAAGCTATCTGAACTTCTTCAGAAAGCTAAACGTTCAGACATAGTACTTGTAGCAGGTGACTTTAATGCCCAGATAGGTAGTTTAAACCAAACAGAAAGGCATTTAGGTGGATATTTTAGTATTCCGACACAGCGAACAGATAATGGTGATCGTCTGCTGCAACTATGCTCAGACAATCGTTTATTTTTAGCAAACACAAATTTTAAGCATAAGGAGAGACATCGTCTAACATGGCGACCCCCTACACCAAACCAACGATGGACTCAAATAGACCATATTGCCATCAGTCATCGTTGGAGAGGGTCGGTAGAAGATTGTCGCTCATT